CTCTGCCCTTGGGGCCACCTACCGTTTATACAAAATTGAAGGGGGATGGGGGAGGCACATCCACTGTTAATTAAAATTGAGTCCCCTAGACCTAAGAGGCTTCAAATTAAATTAGAATAAAATCCCTTCATCCCTACTCTAGAAGAAGGGTTTTAAAGGTTTAACCTCTATTTTCCCCATTGGGCCCCTCTCCTCTGCCCCTACTGGGTCCACACCCACCGTTTATACAAAATTGAAATAGTTATTAAAGTAATGGACCGTAGAAGGCCACTCCCACATATATAAACAGTTGTTTTATATGATAAATGTTTTATGTTCGGTTGAACATAGTGAATTAGAACATTAGGATTAAAACTCTGTATCCCTACGCTAGAAAAAGGGCTTGAAACTTTTACTTCTAATTCCCATATAAGGCCCCTCTCTTCTGCCCCCAGGGGGTCACATCCACTGGTTATACGAAAGTGAGTGCCCTTGGCCTAAGGATGTTTCAGTCTCAATTAGGATAACATTCCTTAATCCCTAAGCTAGAAGAAGGATTTTAAAGATTTTACCTCCATTCCCCTATTTGGCCCCACTCCTCTAACCCGTGTGGGATCACAACCACCGTTTATACAAAATTGAGTCCCCTTGGCCCAAAGATGCTTTAGACTATTTGACCCAAAATTGAGTCCCCTTGGCCCAAAGATGCTTTAGACCATTTGATCCACCCATCTACCCAAAGGGGGGCCCACCCAACATTTATACAAAATTGAATCACCTTGGCATAAGGATGCTCCAGACCTAATTGGGATGAAATCCCTTAATACCTATGGTAGAAAAAGACTTTATAGATTTACATATATTTCCCATATTGGGCCCCGCTCCTCTGCCCCCAAGGGGGGTCACATCCACTGGTAATACATAATTGAGTCACCTTGGCCTAATAATGTTTCAGACAAAATTAGGATTAAATCCCTTCCGTAGAAGAAGGATTTTGCAGGTTTTACCTCTATTTCCCATATTCAACCCACCCGTCTGCTCCCAGGGCGGCCATACCCACCGTTTATACAAAATTAAGTTTCCTTGGTCCAAGGATGCTCCAGACTAAATGAGGATAAAATCCCTTAATCCCTATGGTAGAAGAAATATTTTAAAGGTTTAACTTCTATTTCCCCTATTGGGTCCCTCATCTCTG